GTCACCTCCAGGGCAGGCGGGAATTGAACTCATGCGGAAGTGGCTTTAGCTTCTCAGTGCTATGCTTTAACCCACTGCACCACCAGGGAGGGCCAGAAAGCACTTTTATTTTTCCTGAGAATTCATGTTATCCCAGTTCTGCAGGGATTTTATACATGTTTTTAGAAATGATGAGAATATTTCACTAATAACTTAATGAACTGGACTTTTTGTTTTTAAGATTTATTTATCTATGCATACAAAAGCTGGGGTGTAAGCCAGAGGCAGGAGCGGGAAGAGAGGATTCACCAGAGACAAAGTGGGGAACAGAACAGGGTGATGTACTGAAATACACTGCTGAGGGGAGCAGCAGTTAGACAGTTGAGGTCTGCTGCACCCTGTGGGTCAGTTCCTTGGTGGGAGATCAAACTCAGCTGCAGTGGCTGCTGACAGCTTCATAGTGCTGAGACCTAACCCACCACTAGGGAGCCCCGAGCCCCCCTGGACTTTATCGTTTCTTTATAGGTATATAGAATTTGTTCTTAGAGAAGATAATTGTAAAGTACTCAAAATTATTATGAAGTGTGTATTGACTTGTGTTTTACTTTTTAAGACTCCAAATTTAGAAACACTTGTCCGATGTTCAAGTCTATTGGTGGGTGTTCTTGGCTGCTATTGTTCTGTGGGTGTAATAACTGAAGAGGAAGTATATAAGTCAGAATTATTCCAGAAAGCCAAGGTAGGACAGTTTACGCTAATAATGTTTTATGTTACTATGAATGAAATGTATTCTTGGAAAAATTGATACATTTGTTTGGAAAAGACAAACTTTTTTAAAAAATAATAGTTTATTTTTACAGCATTTTGCACATATTTTCATCTCAGTTGTAATCCCCATGGGCTTCCATCACCAAATCACCCATGTGCCATCACCATAGTCCAATGCATTTCCTTCCCGCCACTGTTTTTGATCCCATTCCCCACCCCACCTCCATAAAATGTCTCTGGTATATAGCTGTTCATTATTATTATTATCATTATTATTATTATTTTCTTGCCTAGTCCATTATACTCCTGCTATGAGTGAAACCATCTGGTATTTTTCCTTTTCTTTCTGGCTTATTTTACTAAGCATGATCTGGAAAAGACAAATTTTTATGTAGGTTAGTACTATTATTTTCACCTACGCAGTTTGAAAAGAAATGATACTTATTACATCCTTCTGTAAGATTGGAAGTAATTTTATGTCTGTAGTAAGAGAATGTCACAAAAGTTTGTCACTAAAGAGCAGATTTTTCATCTACATTTTTTTCAAAATTTTTTTTGTGATAAACTATACTGAAGAATTCTTGGCCAAAGCTGTTATTCATGTAGGCTCTAACCATGAAACTTATTTTTATCTCTAAGTACTATGTCAGTATTTGTAAGAAGACCAAGATGCATTTTTTATTTAAAAAACTGTTCATAATTTTTAATTATACTATTGTCATCAAGTGTAACTTCTTAAAACACTTAATTTTGCCTCTTATGTAAAACTTTCAAAATATTAATTTGTTAATTTAACTAGAATTTGAATTTTTAATGAAAAGTTATAAAAATTAAAAAAAATTATTTATATATATTTTACATAACTTTTCATTTTTTGTACCATTTATGCTTTCTCCTCTCAGGTGAATGCTTATAAAATTCCCACTGCCAATTCACTTGTGCACCGTCACCATAGTCTAGCGTCCTTCCCACCCCTGTTTTGATCTGTTTTCCTCCCCTCTCCCTCAGAATGTCTTTTAAACCATAGTTACCTGTTAATTTTGTTTTTCCTTTTTTATTCTTAATAGTCTCTAATGCAGTGTGCAGGAGAAAGTATCACTCTATTCAAAAATAAGTCAAACGAGGAATCTAGAATTGCTTCATTGAGAAATATGATGCATCTATGTACAAGTTGTTTGTGTAGCTGTACCAAGGTAAGATTTTCTTCCTACTTGACAGTAGAACCTTTCTAGGAGGCAGATCACTGGATGGTGTTACTGTGTTTTGGTTCACTCATAAGTTTGCATGTTGATTTTAAACTAAACTGAATTGTAATTAAAGGTAGTATCAAGAGGAATAAAACAGGAAGTCATCAGAGTTTCTCATGAGACTAATATCATTTCAGAATGGTTTCTGAGATTATCTCACCACTTTTAGATAACAAATACGTAGTTAACTTTTTTTTTTCGGTTTTTATTTATTTATTTATGTGTACAGAACTGGGTTAACAGGCCAGAGGTGCAGAGGTAGCGAAGGATTCACCAGAGACAGAGTGGGGAGCAGAACAGGATGATAAACAAAGTACAGTGCTGAGGGGAGCAGTGGGCAGGTCAGGAGAGCTCTGCCATGCCATGTGGATCTCCTCTGGGGCAGGTGGGTATCGAACTCATGCGGAAGTGGCTTTACCTTCTTAGTGCTGTGCTTTAACCCGTTGCACCATCAGGGAGGGCCCTACTTAGGTAACTTTTATTGTGACTTATTTTCATTTACTGGATAAAAACATATTGTCTAGTAACTGTGTGATGTGCATAGCACTATACAGGGCCACAGAGGTAGAGAACTTTTTTCCCAGAGTCTTACATAACATTTGACAGAAAAGTTCTACTGTGTGTTATCTTTGGAGCAGGCCTGAGTCTTACTAATAGTTGGAAACATTTGTGAAAGCTAATATATAAGTATAGGACAATACAGCAATATTACAAGCATGAATTTTGGCTTTTGTAATACATGTTTCTGCATTTTGGTGTAACTGGAAATGAAGAGAAGTAGAAGAATAAACTTTTAAGCTACAATTATTGCTTGCTTACATTTAGTGTCAGGTATTTTACTTTAATGTTATATGTACAATGAAAGATATGTGCTATAGTTACTATGACTCTAAGAAAAGAGGTTAGTGTTTTTGAAGTAATTTATAGCTTGGATGTAGATAGTGAACTTGTTCCCGTATTTCTGTTATTGGCCGGCATTTTTTTTTTTTTTTTGGGGGGGGGATGTTCTTTCTGGAATAGCTGAGAGACTTCCAGACACTTCAGTTGTGGAGGGTATTCTGAGTTGTGTTGTTTTTCCCAGCCCCCACTGTGTGTAATTGTGTCTGTTGTCTCAGCTGGTAAGAGTCAGGGGTTCCCGTGTTTCTTATGATAAAAATAGCCAGTGTAAAAGAAAGGCTATAGTTTATTTAAGATAGAGAAAATATTTCCTTGCAGAAATAATTGTTCATTTCTTTGTTTACTTTTCTAAATTAACTATAGCACAATCCACATAAGATTGCTTCTGGCTTTTTCCTACGATTGTTAACGTCAAAGCTAATGAATGATATTGCAGATATTTGTAGAAGTTTAGTAAGTATGCTTCCTATTTTATTGCTGTTATTTCATTGATTCTAAAATGCTTTATTTCTCCCCCATAGAGATGCTTCTTATAGAGATACCTCACAACACATAGTATGCTTTTTAAAATGTGGAAATTAAGAGAGTTATTTGGTTTGGGGATATATTTGATTGCTTTTTAATGTCAGTACTAAGCTGGCTTTTTATTTTCTCAGTAAGTAGTAATAGTCTGAATTGTAATTGGTAACTAGTCATCTAGGCCATACTCTTTCTATTTATCTATTTATCACTGTACCCAGAATTCAAAATAATTCTCTGTCCTTAAACATAAAAACACAACTCTTGCTTTGGTATTTATATTTCGTCTTCCATACAAATGGGCTTATGCTCTACATATTTTTTATCTGGAATGATATCTAGCACAGCGAGTAGATACATGAATCAACTAAGTGGGAAAACATTTTGTGACTTGATTACTTTTGCCTACTAATAAATCTTGGTTGTTTTCCATGTCATTTTGTAGTGCCATACTTTACACTGTTTGTAACAGTAGCTTGGTTTGGGGATAATAGATAGGGTAATAGATCTGATCTTAACATTTTAAGTGGTTTTGTCATTGCAAAGAGTTCTTTATAAAGATTCTTATACTTTTTGCTACTTTTATTTATGCATCTGAAGGCTGTAGAATAAATTCTAGAAGTGTTGAGAAGAAATGTAAATTTCACTTTTGGGTATTGTCATTGCTCTCCAACTGGCCATATAAATGCATATTTTCCCCCTTAACCTCATCAATGTTGGGTGTTACCAAATATTTTCTTTTGTTTTAAATTTATTTAATGTAAAAATTCTTAATATGAAAAAAAAAATTCTTAATATGAAACATTATAAAGATTACATATTGCTTTGTTATATAGAGACGTGCAGTTTATTTTTCCATTTTCCTATTGGACATTAGATGAAAATAATACTGAGGTATTCAAATACATGACTCTTAAATTGTTTGATTAGGTAGATTTTAGTTCTAACATGTTCTGAAAGGAACTAAATTAAAAAGAGCATCCTTTTCCTTCTTTTTAGGCATCCTTTATCAGAAAGCCACTTGATTATGGAGAAGTAGAACCAATGGAAGATGATTCTGATAAAAATCTAATGGAGGTAGAGGATCAGTCATCCATGAGTCTGTTTGATGATTACTCTTCTAGTACTATTAGTGATGTAAATGAATCTGGAGAGAGCCAGATTACTATTGGTAAATATGTATTTACTGCTTGGGATTTCTTTTCCCTCTTTGGATTGATTTTGCAGTATAAATGGTCTCATGGACACTGTTTTTATGCTTATTTCATTTTTCCTTGGTATAGCCTATTAAGATTGTCTCCTTAATACATTTTAGATGTTTCTGACTTTTAAACTAATTAATTAACTTCCTATTTTATTCACCATAGAGGGAGATTAAAATGACCACTAGAGAAACAGAACCATATGATAGATTATTCAAAAAATAGACAGCAGGACAGTAAAAAGGTACCCAGAATGCCATTGCTGCTATTGTGTATAGATCCTTTGAAACATGTAGTCAGCATTAGCATTCAAATACTTTTTTACACCTGGTCTATTTTCTTTTAATGCTTTAATTACAAGTCTTATTTCTAATAGCTGTCTATACAGATAGTCATACATTTTAATAACATCATAATATTCCAGTGAACTCGTAAAGCATAACTAAACTGGCCAGTTTTTATGGCCAGAAATTTAGATTCCTGATTCCCATAATTCATAGACTGTAGTAAATGTTGTCTATAGAGATTAACCCACAGATTATTCATTAATGACAAAATCACCAAGAAACATTTTAGGAAGTATTTTGATGTGTGTTAATCAGTTTCACCATAATCTTGCTTCCCACATACTCTTATTTCTCTTTTCTGTTAGAGGGAAGCATTCTCAATTGATGTTTAAGATACTGGTTTTATGCCCCTTAGGTCAGTAAGTGTTTTTTATTTTTAGGTGCCATGAATCCTTTATCTGAAGAACATCTGTCAAAGCAAGATTTACTTATTTTAGACATGCTAAAGTTCTTGTGTATGTGTGTAACTACTGCTCAGACCAATATTGTGTCCTTTCGAGCAACTGATATTCGGAGGAAATTGTTAATGTTAATTGATTCCAGCATGCTAGACCTGACTAAATCTCTCCATTTACACATGGTAAGTTAAGTGAAATGAAGCTCTTCAATTCTGTCTGGTGTTGCAGGCTGAATGTAATGGATGACATAGAAGAATCACATAGTACCTTAACAGATTTGAAATTGCTTCTTTGAGAGTAGAATCTGTGAAGCTCGTTATAAAAAATAAACCTTTTTAAAGATGGCCTACGAAAAATATTTAATTTGATACTGATAACATGTTTTGAATGAAAAAATGATATTTATATAACATTGTAGCCACAGTCAGAATCTTGCTTTTACTTAGTATATATGCTTTAAATTTTTTTCAATATAATTTCAAAAAAATAGTAGAATACTGCAAGAACTTTCAGATTCCCTTCCTAAGTTTTTATAATTAACATCTTATCATTCTTATTATTCTCTTTCTCTACACATACACACCCACACACCCTCTGTTTTTTGGTACCATTTTGAGATTCAGTTGCATAGGTGATGTCCTTAAAGTTCCAAGTATATATCCTAAAGACAGTAATATTTTTTTGTATACCACAATATAATCATCAGGCAGCTAATTCTCTGTCTTTGCATTTAGTTGTCTGATCCATGTCTGAAACAGTCTGAAACTGTTTGTTCTTCCTTTCACAACCTTCCAATTTTTGAGCAGTACAGCCACTTATGCTGCAGAATCCCTCACTTTGAGTTTGTTTTATGTTTTGTTATGATTAGGCTTAAACTTTAGTGAGAATATTGCAAAAGTAATCCTCTCCTGTGTTCCTACCCACCCACCTATCGCCAGTTTCATTCAGTTGGACGACTCTTCCCCTTTGAATTTGTAGGTCCCTTTACCAAGAGTGAGAAGCCTGGCTTCAGACTTAACCTCAGTACATTTACAGGTTTACTCAGTGTTCTTAATGTGTAACTTATTGGACTATATGGTACATTCCTTAGCCCCCACCAGTAAACACTTAGAGAGTGAGATTGCTGGGTGAGTCTATGCTCATGTCCCTAATGCCAGCAAGTTGACAAACATGCCAAGTGCTTTCCCTAGCTCTGGGAAACATGCCAGGTGACCCCCCAATTAGAACCTCTTGAAAACATGCAGAGTGATTTCTGGAAGTCTTGGCCACATTCTTGTTGTGAACATACTGGTCAGCCCCTACCCCCACTAAGCTTCTTGGTTGAACCCTGTTTGAGCCTGGATTCACCGTGGCAGACAGTATAGTTTAAAAACCCCAGCCCTAAGCAATGGAGAAGGCCCCATTCTTTCCTTGTATCTTCAATGTTAAAAGTCAGTCTATTCAGGAACATCACACACAACTCCAATTATTTTAAATGTTTAAAATGGTCCAATTAATGTTCTCATAATAACTGAGAAAGATTGAAAAACATTTTTATACATATACATGAGTGGAAAGAAAGTCTCCTGATTTCTTAGCCAATATCTAGGAAATTACTTGGCAGCAGCTCTCAGAGTAGAAGCCATTATGACTAGCATTTGCTGTGCAGCCTTTTGTGCCCCTGGTATCAGACAGCCTTACAGTGTTGCCTTACAGGGAGATAGGCCAGGGAATTTCACTTCTTCCCTGCCACTCATTAGCTCTGCTTTCCAAAATTCATTAATAGAATAACTTTCAGCCATTTAACGCTTATCTGCAGGCATTATTATGAGTGGGTAGGGACATAAGATAGTTTCAATTTCTTGCTGAGGCTTTTATCCCCTACAGTGATAACAACTACCATTTGTTTAATTCCTGTGATCCATTCTAGACCTTTGCTTCATTCCCTTAATTTTTACAGTAACCTAGTCAGGTAGTTGCTATATCCCCATTTT